AAGTTTTTTTTTTTAAGACTATACAAAATAATCAAACGAGATGAAGATAAGAATTGAAAACGATTTTATTTTTATATTCAGGGAGAACGGAGTTCAATCTGAACCAAAATATTTACATTTTTCAGTATTTAAATAAATCTATATAATTAATTACACAGTTACGAAATATTCAACTTGACTAAGTTTTGATTTGAAACAGTCTGTTTTTATAAATACGTAAATAAATCATTTTAGACGAAATCTTTAGACTACCAGTGGTGTTTGAATTTTGGAAATCGTTATTCATATAAAAAATCACTTAGGAACGTATAACTGAAGGGTGTATGTTTCTTCAGTGGTCATATTACTAAATAACAAACTATCTTGAGTATATATATATATATTCATACATTTAATAAATGATAAGACGACATCTATAATGATAAACATTGATACAACTAACAAACCTTTAAGTATAGGTGGCGAAAACTTATCTTGAATCTCACAAAAAAAGAGATTCGCGGTCAAAACTGATAAAATTTCAAGTGTTTAAGATAATTGAAAAATTCTGCGTTGAATGAAAATGATTATTTAAGCAAAAAATCTAAAGTCGATATTTTAAAGAAATGAATCCATTTTATGGTTGTGTAAAGATGTGCCAAATGTATTAATGTTTTTTTTTTTAAATCTAGTGTTTGTAATGTACTTTCTATCTCGCTGTCCTGTTTAATGTCATTAAATGTATTAACTGAAATAGAGAGAGAAAAATTAAATCTTTCCAAATAAGTGTTCAACGTTTGGAATAATATATTCTAAATATTTAAGTTTAAAGTTACGTTTGGTTGTTTTGTGACTTTGGATGTTGTATTAAACAAGTAAACGAATTTGATAAATATTCATAAAATTAAATTAAAAGATAACAGGTGATTGTTTTGTCTTTTGATAGCTTGTAACGAAGGAAACCAACTGAGTTAAAGATACAAAAGTTATTGTTTGTTCTAGCGCAAAGTTACACAATAGGCTAACTGCACTATGACCACGACTGGAATTCGAATCCTGTATTTTAGTCTGTAAACTTAACCACTAACCCACTGTGAGAGGGAGGGATTATAAAATGGACATACATAAATCATAATTAAAATTAGAATTTGTCAAACAAAGTGTGAAGTTGAGAAAAAAATATATTAAAAGAAATTAAGAGAAGCTGCCAGTAGAGGGCAGCAAATGTCTGCAATAAGGCTTGAAAATAAGCAATGTATTTTTTGTTATAGTAACGATGTCTAAACTGAACAG